GTTGAAAGGGGGTTTTGCTATTTTAATTCTATAATGTGTATTTTGGGTTTCAAAATAACAAAATTGTTATTGGTTGTGACATATAGACCGTTGGGTCAATATTGAGAAATGGGGTAGAAAACCCTAATTGGTTATATAAATTAATTGGTATAATTAATTTGGGAAAATTGTGGCTATATGGAATTGAGTTGGAAATAATGAAATTGGCTCATTATATAGTAGAATGGTGGAGTTGGATTTATTAATCGCTCACTTTTGAAAACACTAATATTTTATCTGTTGGAGCTTTTATTATCCGTTTAGAAATAATTGCTTGGGCTACCGATGGAGGGTAGTTTTGATTGTTGTAGACAATGCATGATGATTAGGCAAACTAAAACTAATCAATTGGATATGTCATAGAGTATGACGGTTAATAGAATACATTAATGTTATGTATTGATTGATTGTGTATATGACCTAAGTGTATATACGTTGTGTGTGTGGGAGGAGATAGGGATGTACTCCGCGGTTTAGGGGAAGATAGGGGATGGACCTCTAAACCGGATGTTGTTTGGGAGGAGATAGGGGATGGACTCCGCTGATACAGCTCATATGCTTATCTATGGAAGTGTTGATATAGCTCATATGCTTATCTGTTGAAATGTTGATACAACTTGTATGCTTATCTGTTGAGATGTTGATGCAGCTTATATGTTTATCGGATAAAATGTTGATATAGCTGGTATGCTTATCTAATGTGTAATGCGAGAAGTTTATTATGAGTCTCTGTCTCATGTAAATGGTTGGCCAGGTTCTGAGCCATTGATGTAAATTGTGAAATTGATAAGAAATGGGTTATGAATTGATTTATGAAAATAGAACATTTATCAATTGCTAATGTCTTAGTTACTGCTCATACTGTGTTTAGCATATCTCTACTGGGCGTTGGCTCACCCTATATGGGACATTATTCTCAGGTACAGGTAGCATGCCACCTCCAAGGACATAGATTGGATGATGATGAGAGTTGAAGACTCTTTTTGTTTATTTTGTTTGTATTACATGTATATCAAGCCAAGAGCTTATTTTGTATAGAGTTAGTACTCTTCTTTTGTGTAAACAGGTGTTGACTTGGAAACTGTAAGCCCATAGGGCATTTGCTTTTGTTGTTAACATGTAATACTGTTATAAGAACTACTCTGATGAATAGAAATGGTTGGTTTCTTTTATATCAATGCATGTCTAAAGTGATGGGTTTTATGTATTATTTTGAGGGCGTTACATAGTATTTCATTAAGCAAAATGAAAGACTTACAAAGATCCGAATCAGCCTCGTAGAGTTTACAGCAACAAGTTACTTGAAAACTACTCCTATGAACGAAATGCAGTGTAGGAAATTGAAGTATGGAAATGTAAAGAACAAGAAATGTAAAAACTGAAAAAGAAATTAAGTAGAATAAAACTGGTTTTATGGATCTGAGTCTGGGGCTTTTTCTAGGGCCTTCTCTGCTATTTATACTTCTCAAGGATAACCATCGAACTGCACTTCTAACCGTCGAACTGCTCCTCCATAATCGCTGATCATGTTGCCTTATAGTTAGCTCCACTACACCATGTCTGCAGTTAGGCTTCCTTCTTAATTTGAATTCAAATGTACGAATAACCGTTAGAGCCACGTCATCTTAAATCCCTTTGCCAATCCAGTGTTATGCAAATCCATTATAACCAATGCTAACTGCCACGTGTGTGATTATGATTGAAGACTTGAATAGTCTTCCCATATTGCCCTTATTCTGCCACGCGTTGAATTGTAATTGGCTTATATAAAATATGTAGCCAACAAATCTAGAGATTGACTTATCTCTCACTAACTAATCAAAATGAGTCAAGTCAATTCTATATATATCGTAACTACTATTTTTATTGATCTGAAAGAACTATATCAGTCTAAAAAATTAATTTTTCAAAACTATTGAATGATAATAATAAAAGTAATTTGGGAACATGCATTGGAAAAGGTTGATAAAGCATTGCAAAGTGGGTTGACTGTGGAACGGTGCACTCATCCAAATCTAAAAGCTTTTTTTTTTTTTTCCAAATCATTTTTCATTTTTGATAAGAAAATTCAAGGTAGAGGATCTCATTGATGCCTCCATGGGGGTTCGGGCCCCACTTTGAAATCCCCCATCTCACCACCATTCATCCTTTTACACAAATGGCCCACTTCAAATTAATCACTAAAGATGATAAATGTATGGGCCTAGACTATAAGAATTTGTTCTAAATTGGACTGTCATTAACTATATTTTTTTTGGTTTGTAAAAAACGGGTTGAACGTGATTCAGATAAATTGACTAGTATAAGCCCAAAATTATTATTGTGATCCATAAAGTTTTAGGCCATGGTCCATCTTAGTGTGTTTATTATTTTATATGTGGATATGTGATATGGAGGTGTAAGGCCTATTTAAGTTATTTGGGTTCCTTAATGGGAGGGCCTAGTAATTGTTTTATTTAGGCCCAGTCCCCTCTCATATCTTTATTAGGGTTTACATATATCTATATATATATATATATATATATATGTAGATCAAAGGGTTGTCTGCCCCATTGAAAAGACAGCATAAAGATTAGGAGAATGAGGGGAAGAGCTGGTGCAAAGGTTTTCTAATTGTGAATACCATCTTCTTTCAAGGAAGCAAAACTCAAAACAATAACAGAATCAAACGGTATGTATCTAAGTTTATATTTTAGTAGTTAATTATATTCATAGTGTTTTAATTTCTCGTATATACATCCTATAATCTTACATGTGGTATCAGAGTAAGTTTATACTAGAATCAAAATCATGACAGATTATTTTAGGAAATTTTTTTTTATATAATGATAAGAAATAAATTAATATTTTCTTTTACTAAAACGGTGTGCCTGGTCATCATACATATTGTTCAAACCTTTTCAATGTGCTTGGCGACCAAACCTTTTTCAATGTTCCTCCATTATATATTGTTCATTGTTTGCTTCGGAATCATAAAGTTTTTTTTTTCAAAAAAAAAGAAAATTGAATCCCGTGAATATATTGATTTGAAACATACTGGTGCAAAGACTATTATATATTAAAATAATAAATAGTGATATTTTCAATGAGAGAATATTTATTTTAAAATTGTCCCAGTTAGAGAACTCTTAAATCAATATGGGTAGTGCATATTTTGCCAGTGGTATATTGTTTATAAGTCTAAACAAATTGATGGGGTGATATTTATTTAATTTGACATATGTTTATTGCTTGAGAGAATTAAACGGTTGTTTAATTGTGGGTAATCATATTTTAATTTACATGATAATATAATGCAATAATTCAATTTTATGTTAATTCTCATTTGTCATTATACGGCAATGAATGCCTAATTAAAGTCGTGATTTGCTAGTATGCAACAACAAAACTGGACAATCATATATAATCTTATATTTGTTAAATAAAGTTTTAACAAATAAACAAATATTTATTATTTGATATAGTCCTAGTTGGAAGATTTTTGAATCAATGTGGGTGATACTGCTGAAGTGGTTAACTTATTGAGATTTAAATGATTTACCAATAAGGATTCTAGGAAGCTCTTCTAATATTATATCACTCAATTACCTACCCAAAAGGGGTTAATTGAGTGTATTAATTTTAGAGGTAGTGTGAGCCACTAGTAAGGGAAATTTTATTGATTTTGAAAGAATTTATCTACCCAAAGGAGATAATTTCTTGATAAATCATTCTTGCTAGTTGACTTGTTTATAGGTGTTAGAATGTGTCTTATATATTTAGCCCAAATGTATTTATATGATGATACATTCTGAAACATCTGACAATATTGTTAAAGTTTATTTGTAGCCCATTATTGTGAGACTATAATTATTGCCCATATATAATTAATTAAGATTATATTGGAGTTTAAAGATGTTGATTGTATTCTATATATTCAACCCAAAGGTGTTTATATAGTAATACATTTTTGGCACATTTGAGAATATTGCTAAAGTTTATTCGCAACATATTCTTGTGAGATTATACTAATTGCCTATGTATAATTGAAAGTTGGAGTTGTGAAAAGGCTTTCTATGTATTCAGTTTAAGAGTGATACGTTTTAAATATTTGAGAATATTAATTGTGATTATGAGATTATTATTGTCCATATATAATTGGTTAGTATTATATTGAATTGAAAGCAATAAAGAGAAATATTTTTATGAAAATCAAATTTACTCCATTAAAGTTTTGATTGTGAATCCATAAATGGATATTGACTTAGTTTTAAATCTAACTAATTTAGATGTTGACATACTCGAGAATGCATCTTCTTAACCAATTATATTAACACCTCAATATAATGTGAAAGATTGAAATTATATTCAATGTTAACTATTTAAGAAAGTAGAGTTTTAGAATATCTACTGGATGATTCTTATAAGAAAATCTAAATTATACTATACAATGCTCTATATAATACCTTCGAATTTTACAAATCGTTATTTCTTTTCAGTGTTTTATGTTTTCCTTTTCAGAATATTCTGCAAATCTCTTTACATATTATTAACTCCAGTAAAAAAAATTCTTTCAAATTTTTGTGAGTTATGACGCTCTTACCACCTTCGGAATCTCCTCATTTGTTTTTTAAACTGCTTAAAAAATGCTTGTGTTAATCAAAATTTTATTTTTATTAATTGACTTTGGATCAACACACTCATTTTGCCGTCGCAAATAATAAAAATACAGTCGCAAAAGACTTTTTGCGACGGCCTATGCGACTGCAGATGGGGGACGCAAATGACTTTTTGCGACGGCAAAACAACGGTCGCAAATTATTTGCGACCACCTAAACTATTTTTTGCGACAGCTATTTTGCCGTCGCAAAAAAAAAAATAAAAAAATAAAAAATACTTTTAGCGATCATTGTTTTACTGTCGCAAATAATTATTTCTTAAAAACAAAATCATATACGGGTTTGCTACAACAAAAAAATCAATTACAAGCACCAAACAATTTTTTGTTAATGAAAAATAACAAAATTAACAAATTAATTAAATTTATAATAGACATTATCCATTAACCATCCTTAAATACACTGTACTAAAAAATTCAAGTCTTCAAAAAAAAAAAAAAAAAAGAGCAACATAATCTTTGGCTCCCAACATCACCCGCTCGATCATATCAACTATTCCCTCAACAAAATCTGCAAAAACATATATCAGACTCAACCAGGTGCCTTCATACTATACAATGCTATGTAGTTAAACACAATATAAATTCAAAGAGACAGCCATTCTTCAAAGAGTGAAATTCCAACTATTGAAATTCTGAAAATAAAATAATATATGAGTTAAGAGTTTATTGGGGCCAACTGAAAATAAAAAGTTACTAAATCTTTTGACACCAAACAGACTCGTCAAAAAAATGTAATAACATAATTAAATATATATTTTTTAAATTCCTTCATTTTGCCTTTAAAAGTATAATTTTTGCAAGGTGATCTACAGTCTATAAAATGCTAGTCTACAGGAGTAAATCCAGTAGAAAACCAGAACAGAGACAATATGATACCCAAATCAAAAATTCAAAATTCAAAATTTCCACAACCCATCATCAAAAACCTATAAATTACAGTAGGTTCTTCAATCTCAGTTCCAATTGGGCATCTAGGATTTTTTTATACAACAACAACAGCACAGAAACTCATAGTATCCAAAAAAACAGCACAAAAACTATCAAATACCCATTAAAGAGAAACGAAGAAAGAAGAGAAAAGAGTGCACCTTTGAGATCATGGGAGCTCCAATAAAGAGAGACTCAAATTTGAAATGAGAAAGCCAAAAGAATGTAGGGTTTGAATACTAAAGAGCTAATCTCATGAATGCACTCCCTTGAGGTTAACGACCAAACTTTCACCGATTCCTCACTGACAGATGCCAAATAGTCTCCGTTAAGATCCCAGCACAGGTAGTTTACCACTCCAGAGTGCCCCCGATTCCCGAAGGTACCGATGCCACATGAATGATTATATAATCTCAATACACCACGTGAATGATTACATAATCTCAATACAGAACATAATCATCAATGGAATAATAGAAGACAAATACAAACCTGGAATGCGTGACTTTGTCTATCAGTTTTGACATCAAAGATGGACACTACCTTATTTGATGCTGCAGCCAGTACATGTCCACTTATTGGTTGAAATCTCACCTGAGCACTGCCTTCTTGCTACACCAAGTAACAGATAATCAAAAATCAAGGATAATACAGTGCAACTTCAGTAGAAATTTGGAGACATGTGAAACAAAAGAGAATGTTACAAAATCCAACCTTAGAAACAAGAGCGCAAGTGAATGGATTGATATTCCAATAGCGAATTTCATTGTTACTATCACAAAAACAGAAAAGATCGTTCTTCTTGGGATGGAAATCCAGGGATATAACATGATTAGGGTTCCCGGTGTATGCATTTAAACAATAACTTGGTTGCAAAAATAAGCCCAATAAGTGTTTGTGGTGGTAATGATAAATAAATACAAACTTCATACATTGTAAATTTTAGGTTACCAGAATGTGAACAGCAGAAGCGCGGCTTGTAAATGCAAGAACTACAAAGATTATCGTAAAAGAGAGGGTATAGACAATTACATTAGCCACATCCCACAATCGCAGAGACTTGTCAAATGACGTTGTTGCTAGCTGAGACGAATTTGGCCTAAAACATACATCTGTAATCAAATATTGGTGTTCTTCCTGTGTGGTTTCTGTTTTTAGTGTATCCATACTCCAGAGGACAACCTGATGCATGTAACAGGAATAATTAACCATAACGCCTTTTGGATCAGCGCTTCTTATCTATGTTAACATTACTTTTACTCTAAGGTATGCTTATTGAAACATTAGTTCAATCAATGGCTGGAACTAGCAGACACACGCACCACAAATACATACACGTAACTAACGATATTGACATAGATCTTAAAGGAGAATATCCTTTGTCAAAATGCCAACTTTATGCATGTCGTATATCACTAAAGTGAACCATTGTGTCCGGCCTGGCAACTGTAGTGTTCAGGTATTATATTTATTTTTTAATGTATGTATTTTACCTTCTTGTCATGTCCAGCACTAGCTAGCAACTTCCCATCTGAAGAAAAATGACAGCAGGTAACTTTATTCCTTGTCCTTATACAACCAACTTCCCCAAAGGAAAAACCTGAAATGGAGAATTTGACCATTTCTTAGTACTATTCAAACAGTTAGGTCAAACATAGCACACACAAAATATAAAAATTGATTACCTTTAGAAGACTCTGTTTTATGCTCAATAAGACCTGGTTTTAAGGTGCCATACAAATCTCTTCCCTCTCCTCCATCATGCGACAGAAATGAATCCATATTATCATCCAGAGAACCGACATCTCCAAAATGTTCTATGTCTTCTTGCACTAATAATCAATGTTGAGCTTCATGTTACACAGAAACTTCATCCATGAGACAAATTCATTCAATACAGACTTCATGTCAATGTCAATGCTAACAGATCAATCAACTAGAAAATCCAATCAGCATGATCAACGAACTAATTTAATATCACATATAAATCAAGCAAATTCAACACTAGGACTTTTTATCTTCCAAATTCAAATTTACCAATTCTTGCCTCAGCAAATTCAAAATTGCCGATAATAAATGAAATCTTGATTTCAAGTTAAAAACAATAATATACTACTCACTATAATGTATTGAAGAAGAAATTGAGAGATATACACTAATAGATATGGAAAATGCAAGAAAATAGGGCAAGAATAAGATGAGTTGAACCAGTACATACCTGTACGAGGATGAGACGAATTAGTCGAACCAGAGCTTCCTTGTATGATATGTATGTGTAGATAGATAGATAGATAGATAGATAGATAGATAGATAGATAGAGAGAGAGAGAGAGGGATTGGGGGCGAGATTGAGAGAGAGATTCATACCGCTGGAGATCTTCAGACGACGATGACGAGCAAGAGAGCAGAGCTGTACAGGTTTGTTGAATGCATGCGAGAGAGAGAGAGAGAGAGAGAAAGAGAATGATCCGCCATAGATCTTTAGAGCTATTTGTCAATTCTCTCTCTAGAATCATCTAGAACACAAGCTATCAGAGATATATACACAAATATATGCATGTATATAAAGAGAGAGAAGGAGACCTGGAAGAGGTTGAGGAGGGCAGAGGCGAAGGCGAGGCAGTCGAAGGAGAGAGAAACGTTACTGGCGACCTGAGAACTGAGAGCTTCGGCGATTGATTTAAGACATAGAGAGAGAGAGAGAGAGAGAGAGAGAGAGAGAGAGAGAGAGAGAGAGGGGAACGATATCAATGTTTGTGAAATAGGGCTAGGGCAATTATAAGGAAAAAAGGAAGAAAAAATAAATATAAGGAATAAATAAATTATTTGCGACTGATAATTAGGGGGTCGCAAATTGTATGGTAGCAAAAGGTCATTTTTCTATCATGTAATTTAAGTTGTAGTCTAGTACTGATCTTGTTTTAAAGAATGTTATTTTATATATTGTTCGTATAACAACAATTTAATTTTAATGTCAAAACTAAATAAGTATGATTATTTTTTTAATTTTTGTCAACTAGGTAATAAAATAAAATAAAAAATAATAATAATAATAATCGAAATAGATTTTATTTTGACTTGGATGTTAATTATCATAAAGTGTGTGGGAGAAATTATTTTATTGATTTCATAAATGAGTATTGATGTTATGCATTTGTCTAATCTCATTAATGTTGAAAAACACACTGATAAAGTTTTTAAAATTATTAATTGAAGATGGATATTATAGTGAACATGATAATTTTGATTAATGTACATAACCTCTTATTAATTTTTTATAAAATTATGGATCAGTTTAAATATATCATGCTTATAACTTCGAAGAAAGTTGAGTACTTAAGCGTCATAATTGGACTCTAATAAAATGATGAAGTGTAGGTTAACATGTTTAAATTATACAAGTTTTTGTGATAAAATATTTTTAATTGCTATGTATACTTTACATATGGTACTAAGTTAAAAATATTTTAAAACACTTTTGAATTGTGAACTAGTTGAAAATTTAGTTAAAATAACTTTTGAGTTTGGGATTGTACAGAAGTAAAAATTTTGTTGTGTTTTTGAAATTAAAATGGGACTTAGGCTTCGTTTGGCAAGAGACTATTTTAGCCAATTAGCCAAAAAGTTACTAAATTAGCCAAAAAACCAACAACCCATACCAAAAAGTCAAAGATTCTATTTTCTCTCTACTTTTTGCACATCTTTTCGTAATTAGCCAAAAAGTCATCCCAAACATACAAGTTTTTTTTACCTACCTTTTTAGCCAAATAGCCAAAAAGTTACTAAATTAGCCTGTTCCCAAACGAGGCCTTATTGCTATTTGTTGTTACTTTTGTAAGTTGTCAATGGTTCTATTATCTTGATTTTGACATAAAAATCTTTTAAGCTTAAAATGTGAAGTTTTTAGATTGATGAACAGTTTAAAGCTCAAATATATAAATCTTCCTATGTACTTGTGCCTATTGTAATAAATTGGTCCGTTCATTCTCATATAGAGAAAGTGAGAGTGCAAGTAGAACCTGAAGTGTCTATTCAATCTATTGATATAACTTGAACATGCATAACACGTACAACTCCTAGACATTCTCATACAGTTAAAAGATCATTGTGATCATATTATTTTTTCTAAATGAGCAACATCAAGAGATTGAAGAGATGATTGTCACGTATGATGAAGATATTGGCGATCTGTAATATGGTAAATGAATTAATACAAATTATTAATTAGATATGAGATCATGTTATACTTTTTAAAAGTTTGAAATCTAATGAGTATTTTTTAAAGATAAATAAATAAATACAATGCTATTGCAAGAGGTTGTGATTTGAAAAGGGTATTGTCTTTACCATTATCATAAAGATAGGTTTATAATGATTATAGTGGCATTGTGACTTTTTTATCTATTGCTTCGCCAAACAAAATAAATTTGATTTGTGAGTTAAACAAATTTATTTATGGTTTTAAACAAATTTCTGAGCAATGATATTTAAAGGTTCACAAAATATTATTACTTGACTTTATGGATAATACTGTTAATTTATACATATATCTCAAGGTCAGTGGGAGCAATTTATTTTTCTTGATCCTTTATACCAATGGAATTTTACTTACTAGTAATAATTTCAAATTAATACTTGATGTGAAGATATTGCTGTTAATAAATTTTTTATATAAAATATCTTCATAAAGTATTTTATGTGTTTGGCATTGAGATACTTGAAAAATAATTATTTGTCTCGATCTCAAAGAGCATACCTAGATCACATTTTTACTAAATTTAATATGTAGAATTGAAAGTTTTACATTGCTTTTCTTAGTGATCGAGACTAATTAAGTAACATTCAGTATTTATAAAATGATTTTGAGAAAGAGTTCATGAGGAATGTCTCGTATTCTAGTGTTGTGAGAGTTTAATGAATTATGAAGTTTGAATTAAACTTGGTGCATATGCAATTAGTTTGTTAGACAATTATTATTTTAATTTAAGCATTGACCATTGGGTTGAAACACATAAAGTGTCATGATATTTATAGAGAATTAAAGATTATATATTTGTCTATAGAAGAATTAATCATGTTAATATTATTGGTTGTACAATGTCGACTTTGGTAGTTGCTCAGTGTCTATTACTAGTTACATTTTTATGTTTGCATGAGGTGTTATTTCATGAAAGAGTTTCATAAAATCTCTTATAATTTTTCACTATGCAAACATGTTTTAGAGTTCAACTTGAGTTATGTAATTAAAGAATTTTATTTCAGAATTTGGAATTGTTAATTTCATTTCCAAACCTATAAAGATGTATTATGATATATGGTTTTAATTTTCTCTATGAAGAATAATAAAAGCTTTGATGGTAAATTTAAAGTACTTCAGAATTAGAAAGTTGTTACGGATGGTATTATTTATGAGCACATCTTACGAAATACATACTAGTTGATCCTCTAAATATAGGGCTTAAGCTAAATTTTCGTTTGCTAAACATATTGGGCATATGGGTACTTTATAGTTTTTTTTTTTTTTTTTATGTGCTTGGCTAAAGAAATTTTTTTACTCATGACTATTATCTATGGTATATTTCAGTAAATAAATTTTAATGTGTTTGTTCACATTTTGTTTATATTGTTTATAGTTATGTGTGTGTACACATAAATGGTAATTATTATATATGTATACCTCTTATATGAGCTCTTACAGTTATATTTTAATTTTGAGATATAAAGATTAATACTTTGGTTTAGAAGTGTATATGGATCCATAAAGTATGATGCTTGGTTTAAAGCATGAAAGACCTCGGTTTAGAGGAATAAAGGCTTCTTTTAGAAGTGGAGAAAGGAATAAGATTCCTTGCAGGGTCTTTTCAAGACCATACAGAGGACTGAATGTGAAATTAGCATGTTATATCATTTTTGGATCAATTATGCTAAACTTCCACAGTACACTTTACCATATATAGGAATCCATGTTGGTGAGATATTAGTGTTTGTAATTGTGGAAGGTGTTATGTTGTTCAATAACATAATTACCGCTACAGTTCGATATTAATATTTATCATTGAACGGGATTCTGTGCTGAGATGTTTCTATTTTGAATCATGTTTATGTGGCCACTAAAGTTGTTTAACCCCGAGAGTCATTTTTTCTTAAATAAAATATTTTCTTAAATTAATAGTCAATGTTGCCTAAGTGAGAGAATGTAAGAATTTGTTCTAAATTAGGCTGTCATTGACTATATTTTGTTTGGTTTGTGAAAAACGGGTTGAACGTGATTCAGATAAATTGACTGGTATGAGCCCAAAATTATTATTGTGATCCATAAAGTTTTGGGTCATGGTCTATCTTAGTATGTTTATTATTTTATATGTGGATATGTGATATGAAGGTGTAAGGCCTGTTTAAGTTATTTGGATTCCTTAATGGGAGGGCCTAGTAATTGTTTTATTTAGGTCCAGTCCCCTCTCCTATCCTTATTAGGGTTTACATATATATCTATATATATATGTAGATCAAAGGGTTGTCGGCCCCATTGAAAAGACAACATAAAGATTAGGAGAAGGAGGGAAAAAGCTGGTGCTAAGGTTTTCCAATTGTGAATACCATCTTCTTTCAAGGAAGCAAAACTCAAAACAATAACGGAATCAAACGGTATGTATCTAAGTTTATATTTTAGTAGTTAATTATATTCGTAGTGTTTCGATTTATAGTATATTGATCCTATAATCTTACATAGACATCTTGGTTACAAGGGTAATACTAATTATTTCTTGATAAAAAAAATTTATTACAATGGAGAGATGAATAATAATAATTTTTTTTAACTGATTAAAGGATCTCCATTTGTTGAAGAATCAGACATAAGGGACTTCAAAGAAGAATCATAGGTGTCCTCACAAGATAGACTTGAATCATAACTTGACTTCAGATTTATCAGAGTTTGAAATTGAAAAAAAAAAAAAAATAAGAACCGTATTGTCATCATAGAGCCTCAAATTTAGAGCCACTTGCACACCAAACTAGTGAAGAGTGAGCTCCTCCAAAGCTATCACCTTAATTTGATGGCGTCTATCATCTAATTTATTGTAACAAAAAAAATCCATGCATACTCTACCTCTAAAAAAAATCCAAAGGAAAGAACTATTGCAGTTAGCTTAATAGACAAATTTATGTATCTAATTAAGCTTCATTTGGAAAGTGAGTTGGCTTTTTAGTTTTTTTGGCTATTTTAGCCTGGGGCTAAAAAGCCTGATGCTTTTGACTTTTTTAACTTTTTTGACTTTTTTGTGAGAGAAAAAATATAATAATTATGGGTTAGATATAATGTTTTATCTTATTAGAGTAAAAAGTTTTTTTATTTTTTGTGACAATTTTAACCAAAAAAAAACTCCAAAACCCACTTCCGAACATGGAAAGATCTTGTGTATCTTGCAATAGCACAATATATAATGCTCAAAAGATTTTGAACCTGAAATATTTATCCCAAAAAAAAAAAAAAAACAATTTGAGGAAGAGGGATAAAGATTGGAAAATGATAGGACTGCATATTTAAAAAAATAAAAATAAAAAAAGCAAAAAAACAAAACAATGTGAAGAGAGGGAAAGGCACTCATCCGCAACAAAGTAATTGTCCACCGTTCACACTTAGAAGTTAAAAGTTACCAACCCCATGGCACTACTCAATCCATTAGCTTTTTTGTCACTATTTAAAACCCAACCATGAACCATTCACTGCCCCCATAACTCCGAAATTGAAGAGAGAGAGAGAGAGAGAGAGAGAGAGAGAGTATTGGCTTCCACTTCCTCAATGTCTTACAAGGTCTCAACATTAAGGAGTTTCATGTTGTTCTTGTTTCTCTTTGTAATAGTTGTGTTGGGGTTGAGAAGTCCTTTTGCAGAAGCTCAGAAAGTACCAGCAATTTATGTATTGGGAGACTCATTAGTGGATGTTGGTAACAATAATCACCTCAAGCTCTCTCTTGCTAAAGCTGATTTTCCTCACAACGGCATCGACTTTCCAGGCCAAAAATCTACCGGAAGATTCTGCAATGGCAAAAACTCTGCTGACTTTTTTGGTAACTAAAATTTCACCATCCCATCATAGCCACACTTCACTTTCACTTCTCATCAAAGCAGATATCTCTCTCTCATGCATTGAATCCTATCAATAATGTCAATCACCATATAAAAATATGGTTATTATAATATTATTGAAATCTTAATGCTTAATTTTCTACCTTTTGTTATAGAAAAGGTGGTTCCTATATTTTTGGTTTTGTATAATTTTGGTTCATACAATTTCAATGAACTTGATTTTGCTTCTAAATTTATAAATGATTTGCATTTTCTTATGAAAAATAAACAAATAAGTGGCATATGTCATGAGCTTGATGATTATTTTTGATCAAAAATCGTAATAGTTTTATCAATTAGGCCTAATTGATACAAAATCTAAAATTTAAAATTAAAATTGAATCAACTAAAAATACAAGAATAAAAATAATATAATTAGAAGCAAAATGAAAAGACTATAATTTATTTATTTATTCAAAAGACAGAATTTATCCAGAATCAGATTGTGTGGTGAAGATTAATTTGATAAAATATGGGGTTCACGTGTAAAATGAATTGAAACCATTGATTTTTATTTCAATAATTCTGAATATATAATTCTAAATTTATAGTCTTTCTTTGGAAAGTGCTAAATAAATATACTATTTTATTTTTTACAAAAAAATAATATAAACTAAAAAATATATATACACTAATATTACACTTTCCAAACAGCCCTTTGTGTTTTTGGTGTCAATTCTCTATATGTATCACCTTCATTTCGGTTTAATTTTAGTAGGTGAGATAACGTCTCATCATGTACTAATTTTTCTGAGAATTCTATCTTATTAATTTGTCCATCATATGTCATATTTACCTAATGGCCCAGACTTTTTCTTTTTTTTTTTTCCACCAAGTGACGAAAAAATTTTGTCGTCAAATTTTTTCATAATAACTTTTTAATTTTTTTGCAATGACTTTTTGTATTTTCTGATGTATCCAAAAAAAAGTATGTCGCCAAAAATCGCACTTCTTGCAGTGAGGATAAAGATCTTCTGATGGGTTGTCGTATATATTCGAGCATTATTGTAAAATTGATAAGACATAACATAATAAGAATAATTATAAATACACCTTTTCAAAGTTTGCTTAAATGCAAATTATTTTTTTTAATTTTAAAAATTACACCCATTTCTTAAAATTTTTAATTTTATAATAAATGATCTTTTTTCATTAATAAATTATCAAGTCAATTAATAATTTTTAATTATATCAAAAATTTATTTTAATTAATAATTTAAATAATTTTATTATTGTATCAAGAATTTTACTTTTCTATTAATTCTGTTAAATAATTTTTTTAGAATAAAATATTTATAATTTTTAAAATTATAAGAGAGAATCAAAATTATAAACAAATTTTATGAAGTGTGTTTATAATTTATCTTAATAATTATCTAAGAGGGTAATCACTACTAAAAAAACCACTTTTTGCGACCGCTATAAACCGTCGCAAATAATAAAAAACAGTCGCAAAAGACTTTTTGCGACGGCCCATGCGACGGCAAATGGGGGTCGCGAATGTGGGGGTGGCAAATACTTTTTGCGACCGCAAAATAGCAGTCGCAAACTATTTGCGACCGCCTAATCTACTTATCGCGACTAATATTTTGCCGTCGCAAAAAAATTAAAAAAATACCTACAATGTATTAGCGACCATCTTGTTACCGTCGCAAAAAAAATATAAATAAATAAAATACCTACAATGTTTTAGCAACCTATATTCTCATATATATATATATATATATATTCAAGTAGTATATACAATAAATATAAAGTGATATTTGCAAAAATGTAAAAAGCATTTTGAGTTAACTAATTAAGAAAATGCAAAATTTTAAAAGCTAATAAAGTGAAAATTGTATTCTAATAACCACAGAAGCAAGAAAACATACACTATCTGTAGTTTAGGCATATTGGCAAGCTTTGGCGGAAGGTACCCTGATAAGTTGTTATTGTCAAGTAGCCTGCAGAATTTTACATCATTAAAGACAGGCAAATGTCCAAATGCATTTGAAGTAAAAGAACACCAAATTACCACATTACAAGTAAAAGCAACAAATTACCAACTTACAAGTGAACAAGTTCTGGGAGACTAGACAGTTCAGGAGGGATTTGCCCACTAATTGAATTGTTTTTCATGTGGCTGCTCAAGGGATGAAGTAACAATAATAATATCAATTATAGTAAATACTAATTACAACAAAAACAATAGTAATAACAACAAATAATATATCACGGTGAAGAAGATAATGAGAAGCAACAACTAGTCAGCCTTGTCTAGGCTAGATAGAGTCAAAATCCTTACAAATGCATTGTTTTGTTCAAGTTCGCAAATGATTTAGGTATTGGACCAGATATTTGGTTCTCGTCAATTTGAATTCTGTCTAAAGTAGGAAGATAACCGATCTCTTCAGGCAAGGAACCTGTGAGTTGATTTCCACTTCAGAGCCTGGAAAATAGAAGATCACACAGAATGAGGAACATCCAAAAATATGGTGCACTTTCTCACAACTCAATTACCAGCAAGAAATATACTGATGTCTATGTCTATATATATATATTATATTGGATCAGATATCTGAGGCTCCAACAATTCAGAAATAAAAATTTATTTCTTTCCTGATAAGTATAAATGAGAAGCCATTCTATATGTATGAACATATTAGCTTAGGGGATTTCTTAATAATACTAGAATTTGATCAAATGGTAAACAATATGGAATATGAATATCTAGCCAACCCATCAAACAACCACTTCAACTTACAAGAGTATCAAAGATGTAATATTGCCAATCTCCTTCGGTATATTTCCACTTATCTTATTCCACATAACATTCCTTTAAGAGCAAAAGAAAAGAACATATGTCAGTCAACAAAAGAAAATTAGAATCCACTTGTATAGTAGAAAAAACACAATCCCTAAGGAGGATTGACAGAGAAAAAGCAGCACCAAGTTATAGGATTAAATGGTAAACATTCCACAAATATTCTGACTCACAATCTTTTCATATAAGATAAGCGATGAAGCTCTGGAGATAAACTGCCTGACAGATTCATATTCTGTAGTAGCCTGCAAAAGAAAACATAAAGACCAACTTGCAAATTTAGAAGGCAAAGAAACTATTTTGTATAGGTATATATCGTTACATCAGATTTAAACAAATCATATTGTCTTTACATCTTCTATTATATTACTTAGAACCCTTGGTTCATCCAATAGTAAAAACATAAAGGAAGGAATATAGCTAGCAAACTTAGTAACTTCTTGTTGCAAAACTTATATACATTTATAGTTTTCCATACTTTTAAATTTATTTATCTAACAAGATGATCTTTCAGGAATTCAATTTTGCCATATTTTAGGCAACGTGGTCGTTTTTGAAGGAATTCAATAGTGTGTTTTGGCTAACACACCCCCATAATTTTTTTAAAATATATATTTATGACTCGACATACCCACAAAAGTATCCAAAACGTGCCCATCTTTTATCTGCCCAATATCCGCGCCGTACTCAAAGTATTTCGTGTACCGATACATATTGTGCATACCTAGTACTTGTACGGCAATATTTTTGGAGTAGCCATGCTTCATAGCTTCTAGGCACATAATTTGGGATAAGCTAGTGAGTCTTTCAGCAACATTATCCAGGAACATAACTTCTGGGCGCACAGTTTCTGCTAAATATCTAACCATCATATCTGTTCTCTTCGACCAAGAAGTGATAAATTTACTACAAAAGAATATAATACAATCTGCAAATAGACATCCTTTTTTAACATCTTCCTCCAAAATAATCTGGCTTAAGATGGAAGATCCCTAAACATATGCTATATACTTTGATGAATGTACCAGTGGTGTGTAAGCCAGGATATTTTAATGCCAGCTTACTTTCCTATATACTCGATTCAAAAAATCCATGTTCAAAATGCTCCAGGACAGGGACAAATAATTAGGAAAAGACTGAAATCATACAATTCTTCAACGTGTAGATAGCCATCATCCATGATCATATTGAAGCACAAAACCCCTGTCCAATTCGACATACATGGATCTCCCGATTCCAATTACTGAGATTCATCTACACAGTTAAGTTGTCGTTGCATTTCTAGTTTGCTTGTGGACTTGGATGATCCTATTGAATCAGACCAAACGTATTTCCCCCTTTTTTTTTAAACACATAATTACCAGTCATATAGGCACTTAAACAGAGAAAATCATATAAATTAAAACTAGCAATTGAAAAATGTTCACCAATCTAGGCCATTAATCTAAATGTATTATTCAGCTCAACATGAAAAAAATCATATCCCAGCATACAGCAAATAAATAAGGTCATCATTCCAAAGCAATGCACCTCGTGTCCATACTAAAGAATATGTTATAGGAACTAGATTCAAATGTATATTTACATTTATAGATATTTACGCACCACACATACTGCTGCGATCAAAAGTCACTGTCCCAGCTGGGGAACGGCTCTGTTCTCTTCCTTTTGAACCCCATTGAACGAAAGGTTCTGCTTCATTGATCCCATATCCACTTGTCCATGTTACGGTCATCTAAGTTTCAAGTTAAAGTACATCATCTCCTCTAAGAAATTTTTAAAATCAACCATGTAATTAAATGACTAAATAAAAGAAACAACAAGAAAGAAGGCCCTACCCATGCATTGGCAAGGCATTAAGATAATCATCTACACAAATTAATAGCTTTCTTATACTTTCGGCATACACTACACATAAGATCTAACAACTAATGTGACAGAATTAGACTTACTTCATTCCATGTTTTTCCTTGTGCTAAGCATGGGTACACCGGCGCATTTGGATTTGCAAAAGCTACAATATTTGACATTGCCACTAGCTTTGGCTGTTATAGAAAGAAAAAAAGATTTAAATTTCATTGAAGGTGGTTGTGGTTGAAACACAAAAGAGAATATAATCTTCATATACAAGCTAAAAAAAATTGGTAAAGAAAGGAAACAAACCAACAAAAATTTAAAACAAAAAATAGATTTGATTTAGTAACAATCACTGTGTGCAAGAAGCATTATCCAAGTAAAAACAGCACCAAAAAAAATAAATAAGACTTTGTTTCATTATTAAAGATTGGTGCATGGTACTATTGAGACAGTCAAGAAAGAAAGAAAGAAAGAAAGAAATTTCCTAATTGGAATTTCATTTGTAATTTAGATTCAGTTGGAGAGGTTTTGGTCAACTAGCCTTGTAAAGATAAACTACAATATTAAAAACAAAATTTCAATTATAGTTACTAATGTTCTCCCACAAAATTATAATCCATCAAGAAACAGCAAGAAACATTACTCTGTCTGATTTTCGTTTTTAAGTATATATATTTGAAAAATACTAAAAATAGTTTGGTGAAAGTAAACATCATAATGATATTTTTGAATTTTCAAAAAGTATTTCTGCGCAGAAAAATAAAACAACATAAAAATGATGAGTTTCCTAAGTTTTTCATTATTTTTTCAGCAAAATTATTTTTTTATTATTTTCAAAAGAAAAATTTTAAAAACAAAACTAAACAGAGATATTGAACTGTCAAAGTCCAGCTCCAGCCAGTCATTTTAAAATTTAGAAAAGACCATAAAGGGCCAACACAGAACAATCAATGGTTCTTTATAATATTCTGTTCATGAAGGACGGTTTGACCTCCACATAGCTATGTTGGCTATATAGGAAGAGTAAGACATTGTGAGCATACAACTAACAAACCGCCAGAAAACAATGCAAAAAGTGTTAGCAGAAATTCCATCGACCACCAGTTCTATAATACCATTCATCCAAATAATCTACTGACTATAGAACTAATCAAACATTTCCAAACAAAAATTATATTTATTCCACTATCAATTGTTTAATTGCATCATTCCAGCTGGATCAGTTGTCCAACAAGCTAGTTCCAAAATGCCAAAATCCAATGGTTAGCAGAACAACAATAACATACTAGAACAATCATTCAAGCCAACTATTACACACTGTTGTAATTGAACAACACATATCGGTGATACATTACATGGATATATATAGAGAGAGAGAGAGAGTACGAAGAGCAGAGAGGAGAGCAAGATTACAGAGAGAGACAGACAGTTGAATCGATTAATGTTTCAATTTACACATCACAAATTAATCGATAAAGATACGTCAAACATTACAAAGAGTAAGATTCGAGCGATGAAGATGAATCGATGAAGATATGCCAAACATTACAGAGAGGGACAAAGAGAAGTGTTTAGGCTTACCGATTATGAATCTCGATTATGGATCGATCGAAATCTTCATCAACAGCAGATTGAAATCTTCAAATCTTCATCAACAATCGATCAAAAGTTTCAATTCTTCTTCAAAGTGAGAGTCTAGTGAGAGAGACAGTGAGATTTGAGCGAGAGAGTCGAGCGACAGACATATTTTGAGAGAGAGAGAGTTCAGATTTGGGAAATAAGGGGAAAAAAGGGGGACGGGTCAAGTTTTTTATTTTTTTATTTTCAAGGACACGGTTGGGTCAATTAAAAAGAGATTTTTTGCGACCGCAAAACAAACGGTCGCAAAAAGATAGACGCAGAAAGTCATATTTCTAGTAGTGCCAGGACCTCAACGGGCCAAACGGGATGAGGTGGATGGACCACCCCAAGGCGTAATCAATGTTATTCATGGGATCATAGAACCTGAGCGGGTATGTGAACTCCGAGGGATGATAAAGAAAGCAGAGCACCTGAACGAGGTACTAAGTGCACAACCCGCCACCAAAAAGGGCAAAACAGAGGCTACGAACGTCATATCCTTCTCAGACAAGGACCTAGCAAGGCTACATTGCCCTCACAATAACGCACTGGTGGTAACTTTGCGCGTCAAGAACTTCGACGTCAAGCGAATCCTGATTGACCAAGGAAGTTCGTGCGAAATAATGTATTATGAAACCTTCAAACAGCTAAAGCTAGAGGACAAAGACTTGGCCCCTGCAACATCCCCCCTAGTTGGCTTTAACTCAATACCAGAATGGCCAATGGGCAAGATAATCCTCTCAGTCAAAGCTGGGACCATGACTAAGCAAGTGGAATTTTGGGTATTGAAGGTCCCTTCCACTTACAACATAATCCTGGGAAGAACATGGCTGCACACCATGCGATCGATAGCGTCAACCTACCATCAAGTACTGCGGTTCTCCAACGAAGCCGGAGTAATTAAAGAGGTCTTAGGAGACCAAATCATGTCAAAACAGTGCTTTGTCACAGTAAATGGCAGTCAAGCTGTAAAAGGCTATGTACAAATGGTGGAAGAGTCGGAAAGCAATGAACAGTTTGCAGACGTGGGCAAAGCAGCAGAACAAAAGGCGGTAGAGGACTTGGTTGAGGTAAAGGTAGATGAAAAAGACCCAGAAAAGTTCTTTTTGCTAGGCTCGTCTTTGTCCAGCACTGAGAGAACCGAGTTAATGGAATTCTTAATCTCAAATATTGAAGTGTTCGCCTGGACGCCATACGACATGCCTGGCGTTGACCCAAAGTTCATCTACCACCAACTTAATGTCTATCCAAACGCCAGACCGGTCATACAACAACACTCGCGACCCCAAGACATCATCCGACCCCTCCACTTGCTGAAAGCTATTTGTTGGGAAAATGTGGAACCTCTTCGTAGATGGAGCATCCAATAGGCACGGTGCAGGACTGGGCATAGTCCTCATCTCACCAGATAGCCTGATAGTGGAACAAGGCGTCAACCTTGGCTTCCCAGCATCAAACAATGAAGCAGAGTACGAAGCACTTCTAGCAGGCCTAAAATCAGCACTCATCATGAAGGCCATCGAGCTAATGGTTTACAGTGACTTCCAGCTAGTAGTAAACCAGATTTCAGGAGACTACGAGGCAAAAGATGAGAGGATGGCTAAGTACCAAGAGTTAGTCAAAAAGGAGATCATGAAGTTTGAAGTAGTGCGAATAGAGCAGATCGGTTGAGACGAAAACAGCAGAGCAGATGAACTGGCAGGTTTTGCCTCCATGGCAGACACATCTATCCCACATCCATTACTGATTGACTTCTTACCCAAACCAAGTATTGAATAACCCGAAGTGATAGAGGTATGTTGCGCCGAACTAGGCCCTTCATGGATGGACCCTATTATTGTATTCTTAAAAGACGGCATCTTACCTGAAGAGAAGAAAGAGGCCAACAAGATCAGAGCAATGTCGCAACGATTTTGGCTTTCTCCATCATTAGCATCATACAAAAAATCCTTCACAGGACCTTACTTGAAATGTGTCCATCCTAGCAAGGTCGAGGCATTCTTGTTCGAGATACACGAAGGCGTATGTGGAAGCCACCAAAGGGGAAGATCATTGGCCTACAGAGCAATTTTACAAGGATATTGGTGGCCTTACATACAAGCAGATTCAGAGAAGTATGTCAAGAAGTGCGAGAAATGTCAGAAGTTCGCACACCAAATACATTAACCAGCCAGAGAGCTTCTACCATTAACTAGCCCATGGCCCTTTGCGATGTAGGGCTTGGACATAGTAGGACCACTTCCAACAGCACCCGGCAACAGAAAGTTCTTTCTCGCAGTAACGGATTACTTCACAAAGTGGGTAGAGGCTGAAGCTGTAACGACCGCACCACATATAATAATTAGCATTTAATTAATCAAAAAGATTTGAATTTAATTACCCATTACTCTGATTTAACCTGGGGTTTATGAAAATTATGGAGACTGATTCGTATATGATTCTATTGAGGATTTAGTTTGGAATTAAAAATTGAAAACATAAATGGCTCAAGAGAGTACAAATGGTAAATTAAATTGTTTTAATTTTGAATATCAGACCGTATGAGAGTTTAATTAAATATTTGATTTGGTCTAGTAAAATTGAGATTTTATTAATTAGGTCTGAATTAGAGTGAATAAGTTATGAAGATTGGAATTAAGATGATTACAGATTAAATTCATTTATGAAGTGCCTAATTTGAATATGTAATTTATTAACGAAATTTTGAATCTGATCAGAAATTGAAGGCTTAAATGATTTAAGGAACCAGAATTGAAGATGAAAATAAGTTCAATTTAACATTTGGAGCCTTTTAGAAGTTTGATTAAAAATCTGATTCAAATTGATAAAATTAAATAAAAATTAATTGGACTTTAATGGAAGTCAAATTAGACTAATTAAATTATGTGGGATTTGTGATTTGTTATGATTAATTATTTACGTGTTAACCAAGATTTATTAAGACTAAGTGTTGCTTAATTAAAATTAATCCTAAGCATAAATTGCCTTATGGAACAAACTAGAATTGTGGGTGTGGGTGTGGGTGTGGGTGCACTGAGAAATTTAGGTGGGTGTACTGAGAAATCTGGTTATGATTTGTAAGTGTATGTGTACGTGTAAGGAGGAAGGCAACAAATGATACATATAATGTATTAATACATGAGTTCTGAAATGGAAAACAGAGAGTTAGAGAAAAAGAGAGAGAAACCGTGAGAGAGAGTGAGAGAGAGAGAGAGATGAAGCCCATTTAATTTTCTTTGCTGGGAGGAATTTGATAGGAAGCTTAGAATTAAAGATAAAGGAAGATCTTGAAGACTAATAGGTAAGAAATTCTAACCCAATTTTTATTTATAGACAATCTCTTCTACACCTAAATTCATGGGGTAATTGAGTTTAAATACATATGATATGATGGAATTAAGGAATTGATTTAGAAGCTCATCTTTTGAGTATGATTTTAGTCACCTTTGATGAATTTGAGCTCTAATTTTACATGCATCATTATTTTCCAAAGGTTTGATACTTCAACTTCATATAATTAGAAAGAAATTACTAAAAAAATTAAGGTAAGTTCATATTTATGGGATTAATTATTTTGAGTTTGATTTTTATAATCTTGCATGAAATTAAATTCCATTGTTACATGCATGAGGGAATTCTATGAGTATTTGAGTCCATATTTACATGCATCTTGGATTTTGAAGAAATTGAACCATTCAAATTCATATTTTGAAGAGAAAATGAAATGTTTTATGAAAATCAAGATTATGGAAATTTGGAATTAATCCTAAAGTTAGATAAAGTTTTGGTTTATAATTAGATCTTTTCTTTAATCCATGCATGTAATGTAATTTAAGATTTTATTTAATCTAAACAAATTTGGGTATATAATGAATTAGTTAGTTTTATTTGAATTACATATATTCAATGTTTGCTAAGAAATTGGCCAGAAAATGAAGAATTGGAGTTAAGATCAAGTTTATGAAGTTACATTAGAAATTAATTATTTCGGGTTTAATTTGGAAAGTTATTGTTAAATTAAGCTCCATAAATTACATACAAACAAGGATTTATTGAAGATTTAATCCATGCAAAGGAGTTAGGTTCAAATCTATGGAAATTAATTACTTTGGGTTTATACATTGGTTCTCCATATTTGTGTATCAACAATACATGTTTTGAGGCTTTGAATCTCAAATCTAAACTTCAACTACAATTTTGGAAATTCCAGAATTCTCACTGTCTGCTCGAGCAAGGAAAGTCTCGCTCGAGCGTGAAAATCGAGCTCCCAGAAGTGTTTCAAAATTTTACAATCCGCTCGAGCGACCAAAGTGGCGCTCGAGCGAGGACCCTATTTTCAGCAATTTTTTACTAACTCTTTGAAATGCATAATTACATCCTCATGACATTCTAAGTATTCTTAGGCACCAATTGGACTCTCATAGTCATGGAATAAACTAGAAACACAAAAAGAGAGTTGAATTAAAATGAAATGAATATTAAATGGTGCTTCTATTGTGTTTTTGCTATGTGATTTATATAGGTGGGCATCCGAGGCCTTATATCGACTTAACCAACTGTGAGTAACATTCCTATAAAGGTATGTTAATATGAATTATGTTTTAACTGTTACTATTAAGTGATAAGTTCTTAAATGCTATTTTGATCATGCGAACGAATGTCCTATTTGCAAATATATTATGGCATCCACAGATAGTCCCAAGTCATGGGGGATGGCATGTAAATGCGGGTCCATGACACATGATTGTTTTCGAGATCTCGTTAGCCACCTCATTGTGGTGATATGTGTTTAATCGGTATCCGGAACCGATTACTCTAGTCGGAAGACATTAAGTGATATGTTCTGTGAGATGTACCATTACATTATGTTCTGATATGAGACTGATATGATTGATTGTGATATGATTTGTTTTACGGATATCGAATTTGGAATTCGTTCACTAACCCCTTTACGGTAATGTTATTCACTGGGCTTTAGCTCACAGTTTATTATATATATGTAGGTGGTCAGGCACCGGATCAAAGTTAGCGGCGTCATCCTAATTCCATTTCGTCAAGCCAACCCACTGTGCCTCCCGTGGAGGTTTCGGATATGTCTAGTGATTATGGCTAAGTGCATAAGTTGAAGTTTTGTTTTCCTGTTCAGCTAAACAAGTCTTTGTGTATTTTGTAAATAGGGCTAAGTCTCTTTTTGTCTAGCTTATATATGTATATATATGATGATGTGTATATGTATGTATATAAAGTTTAAAATTTTTCTATCTCATATAAGTTTGCACAGCTCAATGGATGTTGTATAATTGTTATTTGCTTCCGCAGCCCCTAATTATATGTTATTCTGTTAAGAGACCTTTGGTAATCCAAGGATTACTGGCCGGTTACGACGCTAAACCTATAGGGGTGGGTTTGGGTCGCAATAGCTGCACTCACATCAATAAAGGAGAAAGGTGTTAAGAAGTTCGTCTGGCAGAATATCATAACTCGATTCGGCATACCAAAGGCTCTGATATCCGATAATGGCACTTAGTTCGACGGCAAGATCTTCAGGGGCTTTTGCGAGAAATACAAGATAGAATTCTGCAACTCTACACCAGCATACCCTCAAGCAAATGGCCAGGCAAAAGCATCAAACAAAGTTGTCTTGGATGGTTTGAAGAAAAGGTTGGAAAAAGCAAAAGGCAAGTGGGCTGAGGAGCTTCCTTATTTTCTATGGGCTTACTGCACCACACCTTGGCAGTCAACTGGTGAAACGCCTTTTTCTTTGGCCTACGGCATGGAGGCAGTAATCCCACTGGAAGTAGGCCTCCCCACCATTAGAAGTGAAAATTTTAACCCAGACTTGAATGGAGAAGCCATAACCTTGGAACTTGACCTAGCAGAAGAAAGAAGAAAAAGAGCACTGGTTCACATCGCCTCATACCAGCAAGAGTTATCCAGAAAATATAACAAGACAGTACATCTGAGGCAATTCAAGATTGAAGATAGGGTGCTACGCAAAGTAATGGGAAACACTCTGGTACCTGGAAATGGCAAGTTAGGGCCTAATTGGGAAGGACCATACAAAGTGGTTGGTTTAGTAGGAAAAGGGGCATATCACTTGGAAATGGAGACAGCAAGGCTGTACCCAGGCCCTGGAACACTGCCAATCTCAAACTATTTTATTTTTAGCTTTCTTTTAAATACTTGTAATTTTTCTTTCTTTAAATAAAACAAGTAGTTTCTCTTTTAGCATAAATCTTTCCACTGTAAAACAAGTAGTTTCTCTTTCCATTGTAAAATTGTTCTTAGACAGTATTAGCTAGGGGCAACAAAAGAAGGTTAGCAGGAATAACTAACTTTGAGTACTCTTCAGCCAGGATAAGGATCTAGACTGAGGAAAGGTTGGCAGGAATAACCAACTTTAAGTACTCTTTAGCCAGGATAAAGATCTAGGCTGAAGAGAAGTTGGCAGGAATAACCAACTTTGAGTACTCTTCAGCTAGGATAAGGATCTAGGCTGAAGAGAGGTTGGCAGGAATAACTAACTTTGAGTACTCTTCAGCCAAGATAAGGATCTAAGCTGAAAAGTCGTTGGCAGGAATAACCAACTATGAATACTCTTCAGACTGCAAGACACTGCAAGACATATGTGGCTTCACCTTCCTTATAGTCATGGTCCTCCGCGTCCTCCATCTTCTTTTTCAGCCCCGGCTATCTCAACATCTTTCTTTTTTTCGAGCTTGGCTAGCATGCGCAGATATTTGTCTTTCCGCTCGACTAAAGCCTTCTGCTTATCTGCTTCAACCGAGTTAACCAGCCCGGTGAGTCGGGAAACTTCAGATTCAAGCTCGGCCATTTTCCAAGCGGATTCTTCTAGCTCGGCCGTCTTAGCGTTGGCCTCTGCCACGGCTAACCGCGTGGTCTTAGGTGGCTCCAATACGCGCTTATGGGCGACATGATTCTTCTGCATGGCCTGCAAAAGGAGAGATAGCAATATGGTTAAAACCTCACAGATGTACAAAGTAAAAAGATAGGAAGAGAAACTTACTAGCACCATCGACTTTATTGTCGAGTGGATGACCTTCAGCTCGATCAAATGATCATGATGCTCCATGTCGGCTGGCAAACATACGCTCTTAGCGAGGTTGAAGGCGAGCGAGTGATCTTTTTCGGCGACCACTGAATCGATGTTTGTTATGGCTCGGTTCTTATAGGTCACTTTTGGCGCCCACTCTGAAGGGCTAGCCCAGTCAGAACGCACTGGTTCCAAGCTCAGTCGTGTGGACAGTGGGAGTATGGTGTCGTCTTCATCAGCAAGACGTGGCTCAGTCGCGGAGGTGTGAGCACGCTTATTGGGCCGAGATGACGAGGCCTGGGCTGTTGGAAGCGCTACCACGGCCTCATGTGTTTGGCCAGCTTGTGGTACCACGATTTGGTCCCCGACAGCTGGTGTAGTTGTTTCAATGATGAGTGCTCTGACTGCTCTTTTTTTAACCATCTATTGTTCCTCTGTTAGTGGAATCAGTCTAATTTGAGGAAACGTAGGATCTAGTTCCGGAGAAGGCTCAAGGAGAAAGTCTGACACCCTGGTCTTCCTCCTTCCGCTATATGTGTAGGTTGGTTCGAAGTAAAGCAGCTTGACCCAACCTCGGTCGCGATATCGAAGTGCGGCGCGGAGAGCGTCTAAGTTGGGGTATTGATATTGCAACTTTAGTTGGTTCAAGTCTGCACATGGAGAAAGAAAACGGTTAGCACGGTGTAGAAGTTATAAGCAACGAGCAAAAATCAGACAAGTTAAGCCGAGGTATTCATACTGGCTACTCCTTTATTCCAGTTAATTCCATATCCCGGTATTGGGACTTCCTGGTTTTCAAAATTACTAGAAACCCAGAAAAAGTCATAATCGTTCACGTCTTTGTCCGGTGTATTTTTGATTATTTTTTCTTGGCGTTTTCTTATTCTTAAATAATATACCTAGCCGTCTTCATTTTGGCCAAGTGAGTATGGGTGAAATAGCTCGGTTAAACCGAGGTTGAGGCCAAGCCGGTGATTTAGCTCGGCGATGCCATTTATTATTCTGTAAGAATTGGTGCTGAGTTGGGTTGGGCATATTCTAGTCTGCCTAAGGAATTCGCATAACAGTGGTTGAACAGGAAATCGAAGTCCAACTTCAATAATGGATATCACGGTGAAATGGACGAAGCCCTCTTTTCCCCAGGGTATTGTGTCTAGCTCGGCCAAAGAAAGGTGAACATCGTCGGGGATGTTGTAATCCTTGCGAAATTTGGTGATGGCCCCGAGGGAGTTTACTAGGAACCGGTATTTACCCATTTATAACTTAAATTGTATATAAATTAGCTCAAGTACTAGCTCGGTGTTGAGATGACGTTGAGTATCTTGGTTAAGCGTACAAAAGAGTGCCTAGCCAACCTAGTCAGAGTCTGCAAAGTGGAGATGAAAAGGGTTAAGCCCAGATCGTTGGACCGTGCTAAGTGTAAAGGCAAAATAAATATAACCCTAGTTCGGCTACGTGGATACTACCCGTTCTTAGTCCGGTTTGAGCAAAACTCTTTAGCTCGGCTAAATAAAGAGGAAAGTTTTTTAGACCAGTTGTAACATAAGGAATGGCGCAAAATCTTAGTTCGGTCAGTGGGTGGAGTTCTCTAGTCCGGTTGTGTGCGCACCTTAGAACAAACAGGTTCCTAGTTCGGTCGTGGTATTACTTTGGATCAAAGGGATTTCATAACTGATTGATCGTGATATCCAGCTAAAGTGTAAGCAAGCAGTCTGGGAATATGGTTTTTTGGAAATTTACGTTGAAACTACAGGAGTGTATACAAAACTACAGAAATATATATATACATATTTATGCCATACATACTCACGAAAATAAAACAGAAAAAGCGAAGGAGTGAGTCACTTACAGTTTTTGAGCTAAGAGGATGAAGAACAAAGCGTTGGAGATGCCAGGCTGCAGCAGGAGCTTTTCAGGGGCTATCGACAAGAAAATGAAGATTCCGAAAGGGAAATAAGAGAAAATGAACAGTGGAGTGTTCAATTTGAAAAAGTAGGGTTTTTGTATAAAGCAAAGATTTGGGCGGGACTGTTCAAATTTTGCGGAGTACGAAGACGGTTGTGACAGCTACACTTGGCCAATAGGAGCCAGCCACGTGTCCAAGGGAATAGAAAACGGTTCAGACGTACAGAGCATTTGAAAAGACGTTTTCGGACCAGTCTCATCAGTAGCTCGGTGGAGGTTGAGCTCGGTTGGATTGAATGTCGTCTCTAGCTCGGCTGTAGGAGAATAAATCTCAAATCATGAGATGCAGATGGGATTAAGGGGCAATTGAGAGGGTAATTAATAAATAAATTAAGCCGAGCTAAGGAAAAATCTTCTTTGGAAACTGGGCTACGCATTGGGCCGAAATAGTAGTTGGGATAGCTCGGTTGTGAAACCAACGAGCTATGGGCCAAGGTGAGTGGGCTTCACAACTTGGACCTTGTTTTTCTGTTAGTCCGAATCAAAAGCAACCAAGGTATAGGAATGCAGAGGACCGAGCTAGGCATTATGCATAGAAGCGCCAAGCTAAATTCGCCATTGGGCCTAGTTAGCTCAGTCTTAAATAAAAAGCCCAGTTGGAGTATGCCTAACCGAGGTACAAGCATTGAATGGAAGATCCGAGCTAGACGAAGCTCAGTCAAATCTACCGCTTAAGCATGGCAATCTTAGCTCGGTCGTTTTGTCATACTACCGAGCTAAAACCATTTCACTTGGTTAAAGCAGTGATAAGGGTGCTAAGGGATAAGCATTATCTTTTACAAATGTGATTCCTAGGAGGACTCTACATTTAGAAGTAAGAATCCTACTAGGATTATGCCAGGTAAAAACTATAAAAGCTCTCAACAGAACCTATATACAGGTATCACAATTTTAACTCTTATAAACACTGAGCTTTTGTGTCTATTGTCTATTGGTTAACTTAGACGTCGGAGAGGTTTCCGGCTAGCTTACGTTTGTATTTTCAGGTAGCAAAGCGACGACGTTTGGAAGAGTGCAAACTTGATCAATAGGATTATGCGAGAAGATTATTTTGCACTCGTACAGTAATACTTCTAACCATTATCTTCCTTTCGTTTCTTCTCTCACAATTATGTAAATGATAGTAAAAAAAAAACATAGAATATATATATGTATATATATATATATATATATATATAATAACCATAGAATATAGTAT